AAGGGTAGTTTCTCTTTGGTTCGTCACACTGTTCTTGAGACCACTTGGCTAATTACTTACTCATTAAAATGAGTTTTAAAATACGGAGCACCTGCCTTAAGATTCGCGAGAAAGTGCAAAACCTCCTTTTTAAGTAAATATTGAATTTCCGCACGTAAAGAGGGTTTCCTTTTTGTTTGTTTGTTTTGTTTTACTCAAGTTTATGAATTAAAATCAACGAGGAGATCTAAAGCAAAAATTATTCATTGAACGGACTGTAAATGACATGTGACATGTCCTAATTCGATTGTAAATTAATAATTGTCCCTATTCAATAAATTATGGGTAACATCCATTAAAAAATACTATGCCTCTATGTAACTCAACACACATCTATCATATAAGGCTCACTTTGAAGACAAATAGCTTCTAAATGGTGTTCATAAGTTTGACATCTTGACTGAGCTCTAAGTGGTTTTTTTTTTTTTTGCTCTTTAAAGCGGAAGACGTAAGCCTGTGTTTAGGTGCCTTGGAAATCAATATGAGGCATGTTGGATTTGAGATCCATTTGAGAACTCCCACATGTAAATGTTTATGTCTGATATTCCTTTCCGGCTGTCGAGAAGAGATGCAACCGAGACCCGCATCAATATTCATATCAAGTCATTTTGAAATGGTTAAAAACAGAGGTGATCAGGAATATGCTTTTTAGTTCATCAGGGTTCATCAGTCTCGGGCCACTGAATTCTATCTCCAAAGGTATACCGTGTTTCTTATTTTAGATCAACCTGAAAAAACGCTTGGATCAGTGCGGTTGAAATGTAAATTTTACCCTTTTTTTAATCTTCCTTTAGTACTAAGAGGCTACAAGTCTATTTGCTGACAGCGGACTTCAGTGCATTCTATCGCAGGTACGTTGAGTTGCCATGAGACGTTCAACGCTTCTTAACTGACAATAATTTGGAGCAAAACAAGTTGACTTTGTAAGGCGAATATATCTGCAGATTGATTTCCTGTTTCCAAACTAATA